AATAATTACTCTCTCTGTGTCTATAAATCTATCTCTATGTATGCATTCATGCATGTTCAACGAATGGAGTGTTTGAACCGGATGTATCTGCCAATCGTCAATGAGACGGTAAAAACTGTACATGATGTTGCGTGTAGGCAGTTGGGTGTGCGGCGGATGTATCCGATCGACAATTCAATACAACAAGCAACTTCACAACTTTGGCCCTTTACTGCTCACTACGCACAATGATGACCAGATAGGGTCCCTGGGAACTTATACATCAGAATATCCGCCGTACGTGAATCTTTACACCGTCTTGTACGCAGTTTCATCTGTAAATGGACATTGAGTTTGAGACTTGTTACGAGCATGTGCATTGAAGAGAGATGCCAAATAAGGGCAAGATTTGCAATTGGTATCTTCAGGGATGAGTGAGGCTGGAACCCACCCAACATTATTGAGACAAAAAGGCAAGGATATTCCAGGTCAGCGGGACTAGGGCGCCGCCCGACAACTTACGTGTTTCTGGACTCGTCCCATTCGCGTCGAAGTTGTCGAGTAGGACGCCCTGCCCTGTGACCGACCCGCCAGCACCCTTGCCGAGAAAAGCTCGAGGTTGCACTATATATATATGTCAAAAATGTTGTGCATGCAATTTCAAATCAAGCTAGCCTAATAATCGATCGTCATCACAATAAAATTTAATGCTTGGCCAGGGTTTCGATTTTGATGTGGGCGGACGTATCCCACGCACAAGTTATATACAGAAAAGGAACCACGAACGTGCTTGGAAGAGCGATGCCAAATAAGGGCAGGGGTGTGCAAGGTGTAACTTCGGGGATGGAAGGTCTAACTTCAGCCAGGATGTCGATTTCAATGTGGGGTGAACATATCCCACGCACAAGTTATATACCGCGAGATCATGGTTATGTGTAGTACACTGCATTTTATTGCCCAGAAAAATCTTTCACATAGGAACTAACGTTGTGTCGGAGTGTATTAAGGGTGTGCTCGGAGTACCTTACATTTCTATGTCGTATACATCCTTCACATAGGTGTTAAGGGCATGCTTGTATGTGTTACGAGTATATGCAAGGAGCTACATTTCACTGCTTAATCAATTCGTTTATAAATAGTACACAAAATAATGAACGATTTTAACGAATAACATGTTATAATACTATATATATAATACAATATATATGCACAAGTTTAGGACAGGAGTACAGAGGCTCATATTTTCCGCCCAACCGTTCGCCCTACGTCGCTGCCCACACAGGGCTGAATGAAAATTTTGACAAGGCCAGGAACAGAAAGAACTTCAACAAAATAATATCAATATACCTGGATCGAATGAAAGCTTTGTGCAGAGACGGTCACATCCAGGAACTCTGCTACCGCTAGCGCCCTGAGGCCGACAGATCAGTAGGACCCGGTTACCCCGGCTAGTTTAGCACCCGAGGAGGTAAGATCCTTGGCGGCTAGGCCTGTGCATGCGCCCGACAGGCACAGGTGGGTTTGATTGACACGTGGCACCTGTTGTCTGGTGACGTGGTGGTCCCGTGACCCGTGTGCAGGGGTAGCACCAGCCGATTCATTGACAAGTGTTATGTAAAAACGCTTTAGCGGCGCAAATGGTTGGGCGAGAGATGGATTTGTTTGGGGAGCTACGACATGGAGAGGAGTGGCTGATTACCCTAGAGAAGGGTTGCACACGACTACAGGCGATTGTGAGGATGTTGTCGTCGTGGTGGCAGGAGAGGCCGAAGGTCGATCGGGGGGCGATCTCTTTCGCCGAATGGTTGGACGATATGACGCAGGATATGTTGGATATCATCTGGGAGCTGGAGGGGCCAAATCCCCAGCTCGAAGCCTACATCGATTGGAGGTGGGCGGATGATTTGATGGGAGCCTGCAAAGCCCTCTTCACAAAGGGCCACAATCTGCGTTATCTGCTGGAGGATTGGCAGGAGATGGGTGGGATGTGCGAGAGGGTCATAGATTGGAAGCTGATTAGGATGGCCGAGAACGAAATGGATGAGGCACAGGCAGCAACAAAGGTAGCAGCGGCAACACCAACAGCAACTACACAACATCAGCGACATTGGCAGTGGCAAAGACAACCGTGGTGACAAAAACAACAACAACAACAACAACAACAACAACAAAAATGACAACAACAACATCATCAACATCAGCAATGACAACAGCGGCAGCAGCGGTGACAACAACAGCGATAACAGCGGCAACAACAGCAAAGACGACAAACAACAACAACAACAACAACAACAACAACAACAACAACAACAATGAAAACAGTTGTAATGGCCGCAACAACAACAACAACAACAACAACAACAACAACAACAACAACGACAACAATAACAACGACAACACTGGCATCGATGAAGGCCGCCACAACGACATCAGCAAAGATAATGTCAGTGGCAACATCAAAACCAGCGCCGTGGGGGAGAATTAGCGGTCTGATGAGGCTGGGGAGGTGGGGCTTGGGGTTGAATGTGCGATTTACCGTTTCCCCCCCTTTCTGTCCGGTGCTTTCACATGTTCATCCATTCCGGAGATACGGTAGATATGGCGGAAAGGATTTCCCTTCATTGATGTCCGAACACATACAGACTGTATTGGATGCACACTATGACATCTCCACACATCACTGTATAAGGATGCTGGACCCAATTTCCAGCTCATACACATCACATCATTGTCAAGGGACGCTGGACCCGATTTCCAGCAGGTGCAGCTCCCCACCAATAGATGGAGCCTTCAATGCTGGGGCCTACGTAACGGGGATGCTTTTATCACCTGGTTAAGTATGTTTTCCCACATACAAAGTTCGAAAGGAAAAAAAATAAAAAAATAAAATGAAAGCTCTGTGCATTCATTTTCTGAAGACCTGCAGAAGGCTATTTATTCCAGGGCGGCGGCAACATGCTGGAGTCTGTCACTTTGGTTCCGTGGGGGTTTCACATGAGATTCTGGAGTGTCACTTCAATATCATTGGGGCGGGAAACGGCCTTGGGGCAGCAGGCTGACAAACTTTGAAGTTTGAAGTTGTGAAGCCCCTGAGCGGGCCGGCGACAAACTGGAGGGCCACACGTCGCAGAACACAGGGGCGTGCTGCATGCCTTGCTGGTGCACGCACGCAGATGTCCTGACAGTGGACATGGGTGAAGTTGCATGAAGTTGGATAATCTGCAATTATTTTTTTTTCAAATATGAAAAATCCATGGGTAAGACCTGCCTTCCTCAATGATGTTTTACTTGAAAAACAAAAAATGATCTATGGGGGAGCAAAGGTCGAATTGGAAAAAAAAAAGTGTCATATTGATGTTTCATATTTAAAAAGGAAAAAGGCGGCCCATGACAGTTTACGGTGGGTCTGGGCAGTCGGAGTGACGTAAAGTTGGGTCCTGGTCTGGCTGGGTGCAGTTGGGTAATTTTTTAGGTTGCTGGCCAGGCAGGGTGCAGTTGAAAATCTGCAAAAAAACGCTATCCAGTCTGGACAGCTGGCCATAATTTTTTTTTGCAGTTGGCGCTGGGTACAGTTGTAGTTTTTTTGCAAACCAGATTTGGGTCGGATCAAGTTCACAACATACACAAAGATTGCAAGCACTGCCCGCCTGTCCCGGTCAACCAAAACCAGATGGGACATCCAGTACACATGGCTCTCGTTGGCACCACCACCACTTCCGGAGGGGCCTCACCCCCCCCTTGGGAACAATCATCACCCAGACCGCCCTCCCCAACACCCGCCTGACTTCTGGAAGGGATCTTATCTCCCCCCCCCTCCCCCTTCTCCCCTTCCCTCAGCACCACCACCACCCACCCCGCCTTGTTGCTGACCCATCTCTCCCACCCTCCCCCCGCCACTACACATATCTCAGACTATGGTTGATGTCACTCAGCCTGCTTCCTCAGTGTCGCTGTCAACTGCTCCCCCTCTGTCATGGGAGCCCCCTCCTTTCACACCCCTGCCCCCCTCCATCCCTCCTACCTGCGATTGTCAAACTTGCACAGCTACTGCAGACAAGTCCTGCCCAGGAGATGTCACCGACAAGCAGCAGCAGGAACAATGCACCGAGACTGTAAACGAGTTGCAGAATTTCCAAACATCCGAAGGCGGAGAACAGCCTGAGGAAGCAGCAGGATCAGCAGAGGTTGAGGAGGATCTTATCCAGGACTGACAGGGGGTACCAGCTATACTGCCTTCTGAAAAGCCGGACCGAATGAGACCAATGCAATGGAGGAGGGGAGGGTCAAGACAGGGATGACATAGCTGCAAATGGGAGACGAGAAGACGAGGAAATGCTCCCCTCTTTAATACCATTATGGGGTGCCTAGCAAGAAGAAGAGGGAGCCAGGGGGAATAGACATGGGAGCAAAAGACCGCACATAAGATCCAGACAGCGGGAAACCTCCCTTTCCTCCTCCCTTCGAGGGTGCCAACTGGAGTTCCGGAGGAGGGGAGGAAACCACAACTGGATACCGCAACACCAATAGGGATCATGGGGAAGCAATCAATGCCTCCAATTTCCATGGATTACTCATTCAAAGACAATCTATTCAACATGGACGCTGGGCCCGATTTCCAGCAGGTGCAGCTCCCCACCAATAGATGAAGCCTCCAAACATGAGGGGCCGCGTGAGAGGGTTGTTCTTATCACCCTGTCAAGCGGGGCTGCTTAAAAGTGAAGTCTCAANCCCCCCCTTACTCATTTAAAGACAATCTATTCAACATGGAAGCTGGGCCCGATTTCCAGCAGATGCAGCTCCCCACCAATAGATGAAGCCTCCAAACATGAGGTGCCGTTTGAGAGGGTTGTTCTTATCACCCTGTCAAGCGAGGCTGCCCAAAAGTGAAGTCTCACCCTCCCCCCCACCCCACCAAAAAGAAAAAAAGAAAAAAAAAATACAAGCAGCAGCATATGAAAGCATAAGCAGAAGCAACATGAGAAGCGTAAGCATACACAGCATAAGAAGTATGAGCATAAGCAGCATAAGCATACACAGTATAAAAGCATCAGCATAAGCAGCATAAGAAGCATAAGCATATGCAGCAGAAGCAGTATAAGCAGCAGAAGCAGTATAACCAGCATAAGCAGCATAAGCAGTATAAGCAGTATAAGCAGCATAAGAAGCATAAGCATACGCAGCAGAAGCAGTATAAGCAGTATAAGCAGAATAGGCAGCATAAGCAGTATAAGAAATATAAGCATAAGCATTTGCATGAGCAGAATCAGCAAAAGCAGCAGAAACACCACAAGCGGAAGCAGCAGAAGCAGAAGCAGAAGAAGCAGAGGCAGAAGCAGAAGAAGCAGAGGCAGAAGCAGAAGAAGCAGAGGCAGAAGCAGAAGCAGAAGCAGAAGCAGAAGCAGAAGAAGCAGAAGCAGAAGAAGCAGCAGAAGCATAAGCAGCAGCAGAAGCAGAAGTGGCAGAAGCAGAAGCGGAAACAGAAGAAGAAGCAGCAGAAGGAAGAAGGAAGAACCAGAAGCAGAAGCTGAAGAAGCAGCAGACACAGCAGCAACAGGAGCAGAAGCAGCAGAAGGAAGAAGCAGAAGCAGAAGCAGAAGCAGAAGCAGAAGCAGAAGCAGAAGCAGAAGCAGCAGCAGCAGCAGCAGCAGCAGCAGCAGCAGAAGAAGAAGAAGAAGAAGAAGAAGAAGAAGAAGAAGAAGAAGAAGAAGAAGAAGATGAATAAGAAGAAGAAGAAGAGGAAATGACCAGCAGATAGTTGTTCCTACACATCTACTTTCATGTTTCGGACAAATATGGTACGTGAAGTGAGTCATACAAGATGGCTAGAATACAGACCAGGCGTTGGTTAGAGGAGAAGAATTGGGTGGGATGACGCATGGGAAATGGGAAAAGGTCTCAACAGACGGAATGTTTTGGTCATGTACAGCCCCTAGGAGCAGAAAGGCCTGGGGCTGTCTTCAATGACTGTTCATCAGTCCAGTGTTTAACAAACATGGTTGATGATGAACATAATAGGGGGGGGAAAAAAGCAGAGTGACAATTACTATAACTCCTGCTGGTAAAGCTGACTAAGGTGGAATGAGGAGGATGCAGTAACTGTCATTATAAAAGGAACGCGTTTGCACAAATGATATTGACGGTGGTTGCAATGACGATAGACTCAAAAAGCATGCAATGATAGCCCACTGTCCTACCCCCCCCTCCCCCCTCCCCCCCTCTCTCTCTCTTTGTGTGCCTGTTACAGGCCAGAGATGCACAGAGAGAATGTTACAGGCCAGAGATGCACAGAGAGAAAATCCACAACCGCTCCCCCCCCCTACTCCCCCTCCTGCTCCCTCAGAACAGACGCACACCAAAGCACCAAGGCGCAGAGCCACACACACATCCATACTCACACATACAAACACACTGACACCCTGGGATCCTCCCTCCTCCTCCCACTCGTACACATGCAAACAAATGTTCTGCTGCCTTTTTGTGATTACAGGGACCACTAGCGATCATTCAATTAGCAGTCTTCTCTGCTCCTGATCGCTACAGATACTGCTACTCCCTTCCAGGCTCTATACCGCATTCTTTGGAGGCCGGCGGAGGACAGGCGCCGTCAGACCACAAAGGCTGGCGGCACGGGCCAAAGCAAAACGAAAAAGGCCACGCTGGTGCTTCAGCCAAAGCTTGGCGGGCAGTACATCTCCGTCTTGGCAAAAAGAGGATAGGAGGTAGTGGTGGTTTAAACTTTAAAGCAATCTATCAGATGTTCTTTGTTTGGTCATTCGTGGTTCAATCACCATACCTTTTTCTTGGATGCTACTGGGTTATCGTGGATGTTGTGTTTACATTAAACTCCATCTAGCTCTGTACAGAAACACAAACTCACATTCATCGAGAACTTCTCTCCTGTTCTTCTTTCCACTCAACGTACTTTGTTTCAATTGGCCGCTTTGTGCGCTCTCTGGTCTTTTCCTGTGCTTCTCCTTTGCCTCATCGACCACCTTCAGGATGTGCCAAATAGTCAGTGGCTGTTCGCATGGAGTGCCTGCAACACCCTTGCTCGGCCTGCTGTGCTTTTCATGGTCGCCCGGGTGTTCCCCGAGTTATGACAGACATTATCGAAGCGACTCCCTGGCTTGAGACGGATGACGGTGTGAACCTATAGTCTGTAGGCTTTGGTCTGTGTCGTAGGAGTGTGGACTGGCGTTTTGATGCTGCCTCCCTGCCCCAGTGCCCCTTCTGCTTGCCTTGTGCTGTTTCCCTGTCACGCCTGCCTCGATGCTTTGCTGCCCTTTCGCTTGCCTCGTGTGCTGCCCCACTGTCTGGCTAACGATTGTAGTCACTCCTCCCTGTGCCTCACTGCCTTGTCGCCTTGCCGCTCATCGTGCTGCCCTGCTGCTTGCCTTGTCGTTTGGCTCGCCACCCACGTCCGCCATGCCCTTCAGCCCATGTATATTGCTGCTGCTTTTTGTTCCCCCCCCCCTTGTTGCCTCGCACTTGCCTCACTGCTTCTCTTGACGCCTGTCGGCAATCCACTTTCTCCAGGCACTAAAGGAGATTGCGACTCACTCACTACATCAATATGTGGGTATTATGCGGATTCTGCAGACTCTGTCGAGGGTCCTCCTGAGGAGTCCGTCCAGGTCCCATGGAACAGTCCGCCATCGTTCGTGCTCGTTCTTTTCGGACCCATTCTCTGGGTGGTTTCTTATCATGCTGTTTTAGGCACAATTATGCTTTAATGCACGGATTTCGGATGCATTTCCCGAGTTCACATACTCCTCGTTTTTTTTCTTTCTTTTTTTAATAATAAATTCCCTCATGCCGGTATCGACGATTCCCATATTCGTGTAGCACTGCTCAACTGGGCAGATATGAAGTTGGCAGTTCACATCCCCGATTGTCTACATTGAAAAAAAATTAGAAAAAGAACCCCAAACACACAGCTCGCAAAAAACTTGCACAGCTGTGAGATCAGTCTCATAAAGATTCCAGGGGCGAGGTCCCACTGGCAAAGAGGATTGGATTGAATGCATGAATCTCGACATTCTCATGGAAAGGTGCAGAAATTCTTACTGAACTGCTTTTCTGCATCTCTGCTTAAGACACGTCCAGATTCAGGAGCTAAATCCAATCCACTTTGTTAATGGGACCTCGCCCCAGGGAAACACTGGCATTCACCAACCTAGCACCAGGATACTCCCAAAAAAAGGAAAAGGACTATGGGCCCTATGGCCTTGAGATATGATCACTTGAACTGACCGGCCCCAGGTAATCCAGAATTGCAGTATTTTTTTTAACTTTGTTTTTAGTACTTTTACTATTTTTATTTTTTTAGTATTTTATAATTTTTACTCATTTACCTCCAGTGGAGTTCGAACCATGGCAGCTGCGGACAAGTGAACCGGAGAAGTCCGGACACTGGAAACCGGATTTCCCGGTTTCATCCGAACGTCCAGATTTCCGGTATTTTCCGGTTAATCCGGACATGTCCGGATCGCCCTGTCCGGATGG